AAGAGTGACTCCGTGGTTTCAAATGGGAGTCCCTTTGGGTGCCCAGGAAACATAGGAAGTATGTGTGTTCCCTGTTGTGATCTCAGTAGTGATTCACTTTGTTCGTATTTGACAAATTTTATTTAATGCCAAGAAATGACAGGGTTTGGACCTAAGTATGGTGTATGGACTTACTCTGTGAGTTTCGGTACATTCAATACAACTTTGGAAGAATACCCTTACCTTATTACCAGACAACATATACCAGCTACTCTGGTAAGAAATCTCCTCCAAATAAAAGAGAAACCGTGTCTCAACATATTTGATCCTTCTAAAGGTAACCAGCTGTTTAATAAGTGTTTCTGATTTTTTGTATCAGAAAAAAAAAATATTTATGTTTGTATATGTGACAAAGGCAAGGATTTTGATTATAAAAAAAGGTCAAACATATCACAAAGCAGTCTGCAAATGCAGTGTTACGAGAGAGTAAAATTTCCTGGCTTTTACCCAAATAAGTTCCCTCCTCAATTATTTATATTTGCAAGTTCACCATTGCAAAATCTGTCTTTTAGATGAAATAATATTCCTCCTAGACTTTCTGAAGGGAGAAAACAAGTGTTCAGTAATGAAGCCCTTAAGAATATTGCTTTTAGAGGGTTTTGCATGTATGCAAAAACATGCATTTAGGTAAAGCTGAAGCTGTCAGAAAATGTTACAAAATGCAGTAATGTAAAATGTCCTCAAGCTATTAGGCTCAATCAAAGCTCGGAAAGGCACTTTTCTGATGTGCTGTATTCCACGTACACTTATGCTAAAATGAAGCTGTCCTAGTCAGTCAGGGAGTCAGCATGCTGTAGTTAATGCCTCCTCTGTAGCAGTTTCCCCAGTTATGTCATTCAGTGTGATCCAACTGATTTATATGATTTACGTATGAACCAGTTACTTCTAAACTTTGACGTCTATGCAAATTTCTCTGCCGTGATTATTGTAGAGCCAATTGCAGCATGTTTGAAAAGACAAAAAAGAAAAAAAACCCCAAAGTTTAACCCATCCAAAAATGTTACTTACAGAAAAAAACATTAAAAGTCCTGAGCTGAGAAACAACTCTCCTCAGGAAATGTAGGTTTTGAGGTTTTGAATACCTCTGAATGAAATGAATATCTGCTTTTTAGCGGGTCTGCAGAAAAGTACTTAAGTGTGAGAGACTCTGAATATTATTTTCTTTTAAGATGGAAATGAGAAATGGGCTTTGAAAATGCATTTCATAGCATTTTCCCACAGCAAGAAAATCAACTTTCTGTGATAATCTCCAGATTTAATGAGTTCATGGCTTTCTAAAAACCATGGCTTTCATACTCACACTCTAAGTTGGATTATTTTTATATTTTGGTTCTTTCCAAGATTTTAGAGTCTTAGACTAAAATTTGACTATTTTTTGCATGAGAGATAAGTCAGTTGTTGTTGAGGGAAGAAAAAGGTCTAACTGTATTCTTTGAAAACAAAAGTACAGAAAAGTAGCTGAAGCTGAGAACTGAAATCTGGCTGCTTGCTGAAGACTAGGTTCAGAAAAGCACTTAACTGCTGTAATACAGTATTTAACTTTTAGCCTTCAGACTTCTAAAGTAGCTGTGCTATTGGTAATATTTCCCTGAGCTACAGTTTGGATACCTAAAGGCACACCTGTACTGCTAAGTGACAAGTGAATATGGAACAGGACTGAGAAGGAGACTCATCCCTTGCTTGAGTCACAACTTAATTGTTGGCCCTTATCACAGATGTGTTTTAGATCTCTCCACTTGTCTCTCCATGCAATACACTTTTAGCAGGATAGACACTGTCTCCAGAAACCTGCATGAAGCAGGTTTCTGTCTTGTTGTGGCCCCCTCCCTTCTTTCAACGCTGAGAAGAGTTGAAGAGTTGAAGTTCTAAGCCCTATGAAACCTCCTGTCTCACTTCAAAACACACAACATTATATTTAGCTTCCTTTTACTCCCATTGCCTGCACTACTGACTCCAATTATTCAGAACACTTTGAGCTGAAAAATAACCGCCCAAAATAATGATTGTGTATGTTAGTCACTCAGGCACTAAGTGGAACCCAGGGGAGGTGTAGTGCCAATACGAGGTGGTAGTATGGGATGTGGCCAGCTTGGAGCAGAAGGTGTGAGCAGTAAGGGAAGTGAATGCAAGCTAGCAGGCAGAGCAATTCACCTATGCTTGTATTTTATGTCACCAGTGTAGCATATTCTGAAACCAAAGTTCTGCAACATGCAGATTGATCAGCAGGGATCTGCTTGTGCTAGCCTTTGTCTGAGGATGACATAGATAAGTCAGATGAAGATATAAATAATATGACAGAGGCTTCTGTAGAAACCTTCTTCCTCTGCTCTTGGCTTGGACCCACCTCTTGGCTTCTTCTCTTAAAAAAGATATTACTTCACTAATATAAGCAGAGGACCTTGCTTTCTTGTAAAATGCTGTTAATGATGCCACCATTTTGTATGAGATATTAAGACACTCAGGCAAGATATGAGACACCTGGGTCTTGCTCATTCTTTTTGAGTGGTTAGAAGTTATCCTGACTTCTTCACAGTGGAGTGTGACCAGAAGTACTCTGTTAAAGGACTTGTGTAATGTGACAAGAATTTCAGATTCAGAGGGCCTGTGTAAATAGCTACTCTAACTGGCCTTTAGGGTCCTGTCCTAGCAGATCTGGGACATGATCTGGATCTCTGGCAGAGTAAAGCATGATCACTAGTTTCCTCTCAGATTGCTCTCGTTGTAAAATAAGGCTCACATAAATATTGACGGTATCCGCTCTATATAAAGACAATATAAGAAAGGTAATACATAACATAAAGACAGGGACTGTCTTCTCTCTTTTACATATGTTTTTCAAGAATTAGATTGACAGTTTAGGAAGTTTTTGTTTAAGATGAAGATCTTATAGGTATATGTCAGCACAAGTACCAAAGTGGATTTGGGAAGGTGTAGATGGGAAAACTTGTGGATTTCAGCTGAATTTAGGGGTCAAATAGGTGCTGATAACTTGGCATTGACGAGACTACTGGAATAGGGAAGAAGCATAACTTTAGGCACGAAAGGAACCTAACTGATAAAACTCTCAGTACTCACAAATGGAAATGTCTCAGGCCTTAAGCTGCAATTTCAATATAAATTTGAAGATTCTGTTGTTGACTGTAAATATGAGTATTCTGCTTTCTTCCTTCTGTGGTGCTAGTCTTTTTGAAAAAAATTGACCTGTTCTAGGTTTGGAGGTATACAGCAGTTGGATAAGTGACTCTAAAAAGTAGTTCTGAGCAGTGAAAATAATAAAGTCCACCTTTTTTTTTTTAATTTGGATTTTCTGCTATTCAATAAGGTGTTCAATAAGGAAGTTTCCTCTTGTGTTTTTTCTAACCAATGGGTCATTCATAGCATCATTTTCAATGTGGATTCTTTTATATCTCTGAGGAACTGACCTCATGTTTCACCCTTTTCCTCAGTAAAGGCAATAATAGAGCCTCTCTCCTCTTTTTCTCTCAGCTGTCTATTTAAAAGAAAAAACATGTAGGATCTTAATGTTCTGAGACCTGAAGTGCTCAGTTAAATTTGATTGAAACTGGCTGATGGTTCAAAAGCTATTGGAAAAGGATGGATAAATATACCTTCACACATACCATCAGTGTTCTGCTGGTAAAGTGCAGAAGTTAGTCCCTAGGAAACTAAAGCAAAAATCCCTTCTGAGCATATTCAGAAGCATGTGCTATATCTCAGAACCATTTTAATTTAAAAATGTCCTGTGTAAAGACTATGTTCTGTATAATTCTCTAAAAATCAATGATTTAACATCAAAAAGGGAGAAACAAATTCCAGAGAAAAAGAAAAGAAACACAGTTTTAGTACAATCCTGATAACACGAGCAACATCAATCAGCTCAGCCCGTACCACTGTAGTGCAAAGTTAGATTCATGCTTGCAGAACAAGTTACCATTATTATGGAAAAATAGTTTAATCCCTTCAAATTCATATCAGTAGAGTTGCATTTATTCATAAAGCAACAGGTGGAGTGAAAGGAGTGCCATTGCTTTGCAATCTCCTGTCCAGGAATTTTGAAATCACTGAGGAACCTGCAGCTCTTTGTCATTGCTCTAGATTGTCAGTCCAGCATGGGATACTTGTGCTCCACTGCACCATGGCAAGATGCTAATGTGAGTAGTAACTAGCGTGCATTTTTAATCCAAGTTAGAACCTCTGGCCTGAAAATGTATATTTTACTAGTACATATGACTTTTAAAGTCTGATATTAGAAAATTAAATACAGAAGAGAAATTCACACATGCTGACATGTGTCATGCTGATGTGAAAATTGAAATGCATTAGATTGTCTGCAATGCTTTTTGTCACTTGAGATGTTGAAAGCATACGAAAAAAAAAGAAAAACCCCAAACAAACCCTGTCTGATCTCTTTATGAATTTGTCTGAAAAGAAGAAAGGGTGTTTTTGTCTGAAAACAGAATAATATCCCTTTGTCATCGTGTAGTTCAGAATAAATTTATAGAAACCATCAAGATTATCCTGGATTTACTGTGCTTTAATAAAGAGGAGATTTTAATCCAGTGCTGGTGTGACTGACAGTTCTACTTTACATAGGAAGAGTGAGAAGCCTCCTCAGGATCCTCCATGCTAGGATCAGTCAGTTACTACCCAGCTGATTCCCTGGATGTTTTTCCTTTGCTTTTCCAGGAGATTTTGTGTGGGAGGGCTGGGGAGGCAAGCACTGCTGTCAGTAGGGGAGTGTTGATTTTTGCATTCCTGAAAGTCGCTGCTGTACTAAATGAAGATAATTGGCAGGAATCGATTAGCTTTATAGGAGGGTGTTCTTAAGGGTTGAGCTCTTTTCACAAATTGCCCCTTCTGCACTTACTGCTTGAGAGGCATAATCAGCCATCCCAAAATTCACAGAACAGGAGATTGATTTCCTCCTTTTTCTTTTTCTTTCCCTGCCTTAAACTCTGCAGGTCAGTCCCACCCCAGGGTGCATCCGGGCGTTAATGAAGATGTTGTACTGCCCTTACTGCAGAGGACTTCCCACTGTGAAACCTTGCAACAACTATTGCCTCAATGTAATGAAGGGCTGCCTAGCAAATCAGGCTGATTTGGATACTGAGTGGAATCTGTTCATAGGTAAGAAGAGTTTAAATACTAGTGGAAGGAAACTCTGGTAATATCAAATCTCTGCAGGGTTCTGTGAGGTTAGAGGACACTGTTGGTCAATATTCAGAATGAAGCAACTGCAGATGCAGCTCGCTTTCTAATTGAACTTCATGGCTTGCAGTAAGAAATGACTGCTCGCCGTGCCCTAAGCCAGTCACGTTTCATATTCCATGTTTCTAAAGAAATGGTGTGGTGTTACAGCTCCTGAGCTGAATTATTACATGCTATTTGAAATGTTGAGTAAGATTTGGTTGAGGATTTGATAACAAGCTTAACATGGCAGAAATAGTGTGTATTACAACTGAAAACCAGGCTCCTGCAAGCTGAGACGATAATAACATTGTATAACACCCAGCCAACATAAATCACAACAGCTGTTGTTCTTAATTCTTGTAGTACATAGTCAAAAACCTTTAAAAGTTGCATATATGAGAAATCATTAATTCCTTATTCTTGCTTAAAATATGCTACCTTCTCCCTTACAATATACTGAATAGAAAATACCAAACATGCAACCCAATGTCAGAGTGGAGCATAGAATATATATATTTAAGAAAAACTGCTCCCACAATTTATTTACATATTTCTTCACTCAAATAAACTAAGAATAAAAAAGAAATAATTGTCCCTTAAAAAGCCATTCAGCTATCCTGTAGCAAAAGAAAAGAAAACAAAAAACCAACCAACAAAAAAATCCAAAAACCCACAACAAAAAAAACCTCCCAGAAGAGTAACATATAACAAGAAATATTACTTTTAAGTTGCCTTTGGTGATAGGACAGGATAACAATTAGAAAAGGCTGATGATAATATGTAAGGAATGGAACAGCTAGTTAGCCTAGACACTAATGAGTGTCATTGTCTAGACTGGATTTCGGAAAAATAAATGCAGCTGGAAAAAATGGAATAACACTTTATTGCAGCTGAAGAATGGAAATTTATTTTCTATTTTTGGAAAGATAAAACATAAGCAATCTCATTCTGCTTAATTTCAAAGCCCACTGACCAATGTGACTTTGAAAATTTGACTCTGACTCATTCATGGATTTTTGCTTTACTCAGCAGTGCAAGATGGATAGGGAGAAGAAAACAGGATGAAAAATGAATCAGAGTATGAGAAGTGAAAACGAGCATTGAGTATGCTATAAAAATAGCATGCAAACAACAGTATTAAACAAATGATGCAGATATGTTTGCTTTCCTAGGTCTCTTGTGCTGGTTAGAGGAGTTAACATCAGAAACATTGCTGTAGGTAGGGATACTCATGGGATTACTGGAGTAAAAAGGAGAATCTAAACATTCTCAGAAAGCTAAGTAGGAGCTGTTGGGAAAAAAATTCTAACCTGTTAAGGACATTGCAAAAGCTACTTCCCTTGCCATTGAATGATAAGCAAGTGCTGAAAAGTCACTAATTCTGATTTTTAAAAAAATGTATACTTTTAAGAAAAGAACCCCAAACATTTGAACTAATATTAAAAAAAACCACAAGTTTAAATCAAAAGCTGGAAGTTAAGGTTTGAGCTGTTAAAGATTTCCTTTCTGTTAAGATTTCCTTTTCTGGTGCTTTAAATTCAGTGAGAGTGCTGGTATGGTGAGACGTGTTGGAAAGTGTGGAAATGCTTACAGATTCAGACTTTCAGAATCTTTGCTGCAAAGCCCTTGTCTGCATCAATGTCTCTTTGGTATTGATTGTTCTTGCTCTCAGAAAATAAAAACTGCATGAAAGCTTGTTATTTTAAAACTTAGTGCTAATTTATTTAATACCGTGTCAGGCAGGCCACTGTGCAATTATCCCTGCAGGTCAGTGATGACAAGGCAGTATACAGTACAAATACATGAAATCATATTTCCTCTTTCTTCTAAATAAACAACTTTCCCTCATATGGGGAGGAAAATAGTGGAGATACAAAGATTTTCATGTATTTGGAAAAGGTATTCTGTTTTATCCCATTTTTCAGGCCTCTGACAGCTTTGCTGAAGATGAGGGTCCTTCCTTTATGAAAGACTGAAATGAGGCAAGTTGTCTCTGTCTCTGACAGCTGTCAGAGGCTTTCTAATAACACATGCAATTCCCTTAGTGGTAAGGACAACAAAACTTCTACTCACTGAATTAAAACGAACAACAGCATTTTACAGCACCGCTGAGCTATGAAAGATTGGAAATTACGCATGAGCAGTTTTTATCCCTGTTCCAATACTAGGAACCATGCACTAGTGAAAAAAAAAAAAGATAATTTTGTGCATTAACAGTCTCTGCCTAGGCAGGAATCCCAAATGTTAGTGCATATTCATACACAAGATAGTTTTTCTTAGCTCATAATCTGTGCATTGCAAAATAGTTTTGCTTAGTTCATAATCTGTGCATTGCAAGGTTGTTTTGATAGAAGTTGGTACTAGGAGAAAACTCTCAGATATGTTTGTCAGTAACTAAGTAAATCCTGTGGTTTGGACTGCATGTCCTGATATTGTTCTGTAGTTACAGCAATAGTCCAGCAACAGACAAGATCTGCACGTGAGGAGGAGCAGAGGAAAGTAAATGAGCTGTTTGACAACAGGATGTGTTGCATGTTTCACCTAGTTTATAAATATAGAAGTCAGGACTGAAATCACATATATATAGCACTAATAAATCTTGCCTCTACTTTCAAAGCTAGGGAGAGTGGGACAACTTCCCCTAAACATCTGGTGCTTTCCAAGATTTTATAGACTGTGAAAATTGGTAGGAGGTGAAACAGCTGCAAGAGCATGAAACATGGCTTATTATATATTTCCTGGTTTGCCACCTTAAAGTCTGTGTCCTTTTTGTGTAACGTTTCATTATAGGCTTTTTGTGTTTTGTTGCCTATATTACTATGTGATAAAATTCAAGTGTTGCATATCTCATTCTAGCAGATCATCTGCACCTCAGAATTTTGCCTGAGAAAGGAAGGCAATCTTTAATATCATATTATAATTATAAAACTGTAATGAAGAAATGCTCCTTCCAGGTATCTATATAAAATATTTAAGAAGTATTTAAAAGTAAACCCACCACACTGACTTTAAAAATGTGTATTTTGCAAAGCTTGCTTCTGATGTTTTGCCTGTCAGTTACCCATCATAATCTCCTTTGCACCCGTCTCAAGCAAAGTTAGCAAATGCAAGATAAAAAGCATGAGCAGAGGAACTGTACTGTTGAGGAAGGAGATTGCCTCAGGGAGGAGTTGACTGATTCTGTGGAGTTGGGAAAAGGGGATTTTCTCTCTCATGGCCCAACAGATATAGTCAAAATTATTCTTCTCTCCATGGAGCTATACCAATTAACAGCAATAAGAATCAGGCATCCCACTGTTCATTCTGTGACAGAAACAGACAAAATGGATAAAATTATTCCCACTAAAAAAAATTTAAAGACCCTGTATCTTAGGGAATGGCATCCAATTTTAGCAATACTGTTGTTACTCCTCTTTCTCTTACTAACCTGTATTTAAGTCCCTGTTCCTATCTTGAGATTCTTTGACTTTTCATAACCTTAGCTCTCCCTATAATTGGTCATTTATTTCCCTTCAACTCTCTTTCTCTCAAGCAAGAATGTCAGCTGAGGAATGAGCCCACCTCAGTGGACACCACACTTTCTCTTGGTATCGTCATTCAGGTTCAGAATCAACAGCTGTAAAAAGATTTCCATGCAAGCAAGTGTATCTCATTCTGACAGCTGCCTTAATTACAGGTTCAGGATGGCAAAGTGGCCATAACCCATTTATTTTTTTGAGAATTTCTTTCACAATTAGCCTTAGAGTTAAGTTTCTTCTGTCTTGAGACAAAAACATAGATGATACTAAGCCTGAAAATCTAGCAAGATTGTGGGCCAAATATGATAATCCTTATAGAAGTAATTTAGCAGAACAGAAGAATAAAAATCCAGGTAGTTGTTTTAATCACAGTAGTTACTGTATCTGAGGGTTTTTTTGTGTAAATCCAAAGTAATTGATAAATGCTTTGTTGCTGTAGTTAGTGATGAAGTGTAATGCCTATGTAGCAGTGTATTAAATGCAATCCATGAAGGTTTTACACTACTTGGCTATTTATAATAGCAGAAATTAAAAGGGTTTTTTCCCCTAAAAATTATTCAATGATAAATCAGACTCACCTCAACTATACCCCCATGTTTTATTAGGCAGGAGATTGTGGAAAAACACTTCAGAAGTTGTGCAGTAGCACAGACTGCATCCCTGCCTGTGAAAAGGAGCCAAGAGTTTATGTCCACAGCCACCCCTCTGCTTAGAGTGGGGAGAAGTGGCTTTGCTCTGAGTGTGTTCCATATTTGATAAGCTCTACTGTGCAGTAAGGCAGGTCAGCATGCAGGGTGTTCTCACTGCAGGATTCAAGGCCTGCAGAGCTGAGAGTCAGACACCTGCTACTGCCTCCATCCTGCCACACCAAAGGAGAAAATCATATCTGTGAGGCTTCAGCAAAAGATTCTCCTGCCAGTGTTAAAATTATTTCTCATATTGTCATTACAACAGCTCTGCATTACTAACTAAATTTCTTCTTGTGGTGCTTTAAGAATCCCATTTTTCTTCACATCAGTATGACTCAGACACTTACCTTGGAGTTCTCCTGAAGAAGAGTATACCATGTAGTCTTAGAGCAACTAGATTATTTTCAGAAAAAGTACGCAACGAAACCTTAACTACTAACTCCTAGTGAAAGTTTTAGTGATGAAAATATGCAATCAATTTCCTTTACTGCTTACAAAAGTCCTCAGATCTCTGTGCTTTCTCTGTTCCATGTGCAAGGATAAACATTTTCTTTTAATGCTTCAAGAGGCTGCCCTGATTTGATTTTGTAATGGCTTGTTACAGGAATAACTGTGTCTTCAAGATTCACTTTGGTTCAGAGAAAAATCTGCCTCTAATATTAATAGTAATCCTTTATTATTTTCTTGTGATTTTTATGAGGTCTCAAGGCAACCTGGTCTTCTCCAGGCT